AGAGTCTGTTCGGAATGATGACTAAGTAAGACTCATCTCCCACAGTATTTCCTCAGAAGTTAGTAAATTTAGCTTGGCCCTTAGCAGTCACAAGTAGTTTTTCTGCAAGAGATCACAAATTAGTCTTCTACATCCTAAGTGTTTCCAGCTTCTCCTTTGGAGTGAACCACAACAGATCTGAGTGGCAGAAAAATAAATCCTTGGTGAGATTAGCATCATGAAAAATTACATTTCTCCTTCCTCTTGAGCCTTTTCTAAGGTCTCAAGACCTTGAACTTCCAAGTGAGATGTGTCTGAGGTTTGAGGCAATCCCATGGATCTGGAACTTTGCCAAGCACAGTTGATTTCACAGAGGATGAAGATGTGCATAAATATGAAATGCCCAGCACTTCTGTGCCTCAATTCACTCACAGAGGGAGGAATATCTGCAGAAGCATCACTGGAAGGAGTTCCTGCCTCTCAAACCTCTCTTTCTTTCCTGATGCTTAAAAAATATTGTATATCCCACTGCATCAATCAGCGCTTCTGCCAGCACCTCTTCTATGAGGACAGGCTGAGAGAGTTGGGGTTGGTCAGCCCAGAGAAGAGGAGGCTCCGGGGAGACCTTATTGTGGCCTTCCAGTACCTGAAGGGGCCTACAGAAGAGCTGGAGAGGGACTGTTTAAAAGGTCAGGTAGTGATAGGACAAGGGGTAATGGTTTTAAACTGAAGGAGAGTAGATTTAGATTAGATATAAGGAAGAAATTCTTTGCTGTGAGGGTGGTGAGGCACTGGAACAGGTTGCCCAGAGAGGGTGTGGATGCCCCATCCCTAGGGCCCAGGCTGGATGGGGCTTTGAGCAACCCGGTCTAGTGGAGAGTGTCCCTGCCCATGGCAGGGGCATTGGAACTAGATGATCTTTAAGGTCCCTTCCAACCCAAACCATTCTATGATTCCATGATTCTATGATTCTATTGGATCAATACTGTTAATGTATCCAGCTGAAGTTTGGTCTTTTATGTTGGATCTTTTGTCAGATGTACCCATAAATGTCACTAATTTTAAGATGCCAAAGGAAGCTAATAACTTCATCAGTACCAGTTTGTATTGGACAACTCAAAGGCATTTTCTATGTCAGTCAGCTCCTTCAAAAATGCTAGGATAGTGGTATCCATGCTGGACCTCACCCTGTTCCTCTAAAGGTGGGCCTGTGAAACCAACAATAGTCATCAAACTCTAAGAGGCCTCTCAGGACCTTCTTTTCCTTCCCTGTATCTTCGGGAATCCAAATACAATGTAATAGTGGGATCTAGGTGTGATGCTCCCTTTAGGACTTAGAGAAATCATATAGCCATTGTTTCACTGATAGTTAAAAGGAGATGACTTACTAGTAACTGAACTTCAAAATGAGTTGTCCACATACACGTTTATTATCCAAGCTCCTTTCTTTTCCCTCGAAATTCCTGTTTATTCATCGAATGATGAACTTTGTTAATATTTATTCACAAAAATATTGTTTAATCAATAAAAAAGTTGAGGTACAAAACTCCATCAGTCTGAACCTGTTACTGGAAAGTAGAAGTTAATAAAATGATGATCTGAAGTTTTTCTGACTCCTTTGTAACCTGCGAGGTAGGCTTCTATATCTACCAATGCTGTACAAGTTCCTGCTGGTTCCTATATCTGGCCTTCTGCCTGTTCAGAGGCATAGAAAACTTGAGTTTTAATTAGCCACAGTACCCACTAGGGCATCCAGAGTGGCTGGCCACCCAGCAGCCTCAGTGAGTCACATGCCAGAAGCTGCCCCTGTTCATCTCAGAATGTCCTCTGCACTGGAAGATGGTACAGCATGGATTTAGCAGGCATAATCCTCTAGCATTTCAGGTGGGCAAACTCAGATGCAGTGCAGCTGCTCTGCTGAATACCCATCGCAGCAAAGGTGCATGCTTCTGTCATAGACCAAGGTGGCAGTGGTACCCTTGAGGGATATGGCTATTGCTGTGCAAAGGGATGCCTCCACAGGAAATACCCTGGGAATCAGTCTGGCTTGGGACACCAGAAGCAGCTCATCCTATCACATATGGTTGTTACTAATCAGTTCTCTTGTACAAAATGTAATCAAAAAGCCCCCTCAGAAAAATATCAATGGATGTAAACAGATAAAAATTCTACAGAGCAAAACAGACGTGTCACAATAGTTTCCATTTTTAACGCAAATTCCTTATCTGTGATATGCTATTTACTGTGTTGTTTCAGATGTAAAAGAAGATCCATTTAAAAAAAACCAAAACAATTGTAATAGAAAAAATAGTTTCTGCAGCCCATTTGAATGAACAAGCCCACTTTTTATGTTCATTCATAACTACCAGTTAGGCATGCCAGGTGATAAACTTACCTGCTCGTTTTAGTCATTTTAAAAATCCTTGAAATTTTTAGCAATTTTGAGAAATTACTTGTTTTGCTATATCAACTATGTGAATTTCTGTGAGCTGTAAATCTACATAGGTCATCTTTTAAACATATATTGCTTTAAGTGGTACAGCATTCTTGAACTCACTACTGAAATAATGCGAAAGCATGGGAAAGTCTCATTCTCTTGCTGAAAACAAAGTCTAAAGCTCCCTCTCTTTTCATTAGTGGCAATGACTCATGGGATGAGAAAACCTAGAGTGAGAGAAGGAGGGTGCCTTTTTTTAATGATCTTCTGGCGTTTTTCCTCTTCCCAAATTACCACAGTAGTACCATGACATAATGATATTGAGAACATGTCTCTACTAGAACATTCTGTGAGGTTACTTCTACAATACTTCCTTTTTCTTTCTGCCACTCCTTTTTTGGGGGGGGGGGAATCACAATACACAAATAAAATTATTCCTATGTGGAAAATATAATTTATAAATTTAATTTAGATGTCTTGAAGAAAGAAGAATTCCTCATATCCTGTTTCCTTCATCCTACCTTCACCAGTAGCCTCTCTGAAGTCAAACTAGTACCCTTTGATGTGTCCTGCATCAAATCTTAACATCTTAAAAACTTACTCAACTCCACTGACATATACTTTGTCTGTATCTGTCCTTGCTTGGGGAGAGATGTATTTTCATTTTCCTCTCTCCTGCCATTCTGCATCACTGTGTGATATTCAGATTTCAGATGACAACTTACAAGATTGCTAAAAGCTCTCCTCTTAGTCCAATCTACTGTGTTTGTCACTGGAGATGAAGTTTGGGTGTACAGTTTCTGTAAGTCAATGAAGTTTTTCCTATATTCTTGTTTTGTTTCTCCTTTCCCCCGCCCCCAGTCATTTCTCTTCAGGGACATAGTTGTTTTATCATACATTTTCTTCCTCCCATCCCATCTTAAGACAGTGCCTTAAAGTTATGAAAATTGCATTGAAAGACTAATGCATTGCTGCGTACTCTCATTTTGCCAGCAACGCTGTTGAGAACATAGTTTCCATCACTCTCTTGCTTTCACCGTCAAAAGACACAAAAAAGAAATATGCATTCTTACAGCATCAACCCATACACTGATGTCTTGTTACTACATCACACTCGTGTACATGGCCGCCACATGGTTGCAGGTTATTTTGACTTTTTTGCGTCACTAAAGTTTTTTGCTCGCAACATAGCATTGCAAACCCGATATACAGCTCACAGTGACCTGTTCAGGTGCTTGTTTGGACACCCCCCACCCCCCACACACAGTTCAGTGTCAGAAAACTTGAGATGCATCCTTGGGCCCAGCAGAAGAATATGGTAGAGGGATAAAATAAATAATAGTAAAGAGAACTTTTTCAGAAATAATCTGAAAGGCAATATAGAAGAAAATATTTGGCAGGAGTGTGTTCCTATGTCAGGGTGAAGTGACCTTGTATGTAGCCTCTTTATTATCTTTTTTGGTAAGAGGTGAGTGCCTCAGTAGTCCACATAACATTGCCAATGTGTATCTTAAGTTTCTTTCTGAAAAAGTCTGAAAAATAACTAAGTAATCTAGAGAAAATCTTACAACATGATTAGTTTGGACATCTCTATGCACTTGGTTTTCCCGAAGTCAATATTAAAAATGGAAATCCTATGGATAATGTACATGCTATATTGTTGACATCATTGATTCTTTTTCACACATTTGGGTGTGTTTTTCTTATTTTTTAAACAAATGTGGATAAACCATGCAACTCTCAGATCACATGTCATCCAGATAAATTCCTCCTATACTGTGTTGTGAAAAAAATGTGCATTGCATAAAAGCTGATCCAGCAAATAAAGTTTAAACAGAAATATATACTTGAAGATTGTCATTAGCACTTTAGGAAATACATAGATGTATATACTTCTTTGAAGGAAGAGAATACTAACATCTTTAATAAAATATTAGTTGGACTTTTTTTTTATTGCCTATCACTTAGATTTAAAACAAAAAACTATTAGTAATATGTCTGATTTGCTTAATTGTCTCAAAACTAAGATTATAATACAAAAGCCTTCCTTTCATTATTGATGTTTGCTTAATTATTCCAATTTTTTTAAAGGCATATTATAAAATTGTTTTCATATCTACTCAAATAAACCTTCATGGTTCCTTAAATCCCCAGGCATATATCTGTTAAATCCTCTCACTGGTCACCTGTCCATATAAGAACATATTTGGGGGCAAGTTTCACAATGAAACTATATTATCATGCCATATAGTAATACACATCGCAAGTCAGACTGCATTTATTTATAAGCACTTTTTCAAAATAATTTTTCTTTTTTCTACACTGCATTTCCATTACATAGCACTCTCTCCATATTGTTCTTGCACAGTACATTTCAACCACTAATCCAATATAAGAAGATGCATTCAAAAATTAAGTATTGCACAATACGCAGTTTCCTTTGTTCAGAAAGATTGGACAGTTCCTTATGATTAACAAAGTACATGATTAAGTAGTGTTTTTATAAATACTAATTTATTTAATAAAAATACAAAAATATAAATATACATATATAAAAATATCATGATGAATCAACACACAGACATTCTTTAAATCAATAGATATGGCAGTAATATTAATCTTTTTTAAAGTATATTTTTGAGATTATGTTACAATGTGGGTGCACACTGTCCCAGCTAGTAGGAAAGATAATGCAAAGCAATTAAAAAAAATTAAGTTTCCATCTCACTATTAAAGGCACAAAAAGCCTTTTATTGTCTTTTCATTGTCAGTGAAAACCTTTCATCAGAGGTTTCTAGGCAGAGAGGGTGAATTATAGATTTTTAAAAATCTAAATCAATTGTATTCATTCACGTTGACTTATTGATTAAGCAAACCCTTACTAAGACAACATCTATTTTTTGTAAATTTTTTATTCCCAAGTAAGAGAGAGTAGGCCACTTTCTCTAGTAACATAGACATGAATTCCACTAACACTGACCAGGTCACAGATTACTTTCTCAATCTCGATCACTGTCCTCTCCACCATACATATCTGCTAGTTTTTTAAACCGAGGTCCCCAGTCACTGAGGTAATCATAGTCTTGGTTGCCCTCCGTGGTAAGCGATTCCAGGGAGCTGAGTGAATTTGCTATGGAATCATTTCCCTCGTAGGCGTATGTTGCTAGTGAATCATAAGGAGGGGCAGCTGGGTCTAAATCGTTTTCCTTTAACCTTCTGTGAATAAAATCTTGGACATCGATGTTTTCCCAAAGAGGTGCAGTCCGTCGTATCTGAAATATAGTTTCTGGGATAACATCTCTTCTCATCTTACTTTCCTCCCTTGCTTCTGGGTTTCTCAGTGTGCCAATGTCAAAAGCCTGGGTGTCTTCTTCCCCACCTCCTTCATCATTATAGGTCACAATATTGTCCCGAACATCATCCTTTGAGATGATCAAAGGTTCTTTCTTCCTTTGTCTCTTGAGAGCCGTAAACAAGACAACTAATACTGAAAGGAAATAAATGATGAATGAAGAAATGGATAGTTAGAAATTAAATATTTTGCATTATCTGTTGAACTGGAAAAGTTTTAAGGCTGGAATGGGATTTTTAGTAGGACAATAGTGATAAAAACTATCTCCAAGTTGAAGTTAAGAAGGAAAAATATTAATGATTTTATAGCAGTCAAAGACTTATGGTTTTTTAAACCTATGGGAGCAATGATTGAAATATTATATATTTGAAATAGATCTACAGTTAATCTGAAGTTGAAGATCAGGCAGTCTTAAAATATATCATCTTACTATGGTTTGATTTTGATTTTAGTTTTGTGAAATATTGCCTTCTTGGAAGTCACTAAGGGTGATTTCACCAAATGTAGGTGACTCTCCTAGGCAAAAGTAATTCACACTCTGGAAAGCTAGTGATTTAGGTATTCCTAAATGCCTAATTCGCTTTTGCAAACGGGATCTACGGGTCCTTATGAAAAGAAGAACCTGAAGACCTTCAGCTATCAATATTATTGACAAACTATTTTTGGCTTCAATGACTGCAAGAACTGAAATCTAATCTTTGCTACTAAATGTTTCTTTTTAAAAACATGATCCTCCTAGTTTAAGGAATATTAGTTGAATAACTTTCTTTTGAAGGGGTAAGGATTGACACAAAAGTGAACCGCTACAGAGGGAGATGAAAAACTGGTTAGATTTCTAAATACATTCTGGTGTCTAAATGCTATTGATTTCAGTAGGAATTCAATGCTTAAATGTGTTTAAAAATCCGACCTTAGCTCCAGCAGCTGGAGTAAATAGGAGGGGCCAGCAAAACCATCTGTCAATGAGGCATAAGAGTGGTTGCTGACCACTTTTGTTGAGGCTTAGGAGCAAAGTTTTTACTCTGAGTGACTTAAATATTGGTGAATAAAAGGGAACACTGGACATGCTGCGGGTAGGGAGAGGGGCACTGAGATCTTCCACATGCCATGGTACAATGCTATGAATGTAAAGGCTGTTTTGTTCTGTTTGTGGTTTTGTATCTGTACAGGAGCCATTCTTTTCAAGTTTTCCTAATGCTAGACAAGTAATAGCCCACTTAAGTAAGTCCAAGAACTTCATATACAAGAGTAGGGCAGATCACTAAAAGGTTATTATGAAGTGTCTTTCACAGCCAGGTATTTACTACGTCTCCCTTAGTTTGGGCACAATGATACCAGTCTACTATCCTAACACACTACATCTTGCTGAACAATTAAATAAGGTGCCAAGAACCACACCAGCTGTGGACC